ATGACCAAAGTAGATGACAAAAAGTCTGGACATTCTCACTTCTAAGGAGTATTCTGGATGTCCTTATTCCAGGATTGATTTGTTTGTTCTGGCAGTCCATGGTATTTTTACGGAATACTGAAAATACGATGGTGTGAAATAGTCATCACTTGATAAGTTCCTTTTGAAATTACTGAGAATGTCTTTGAATCCTTGTATCTATGGGATAGCTCAGCCAAAGGGGGTGACATCAGCTAATATACCTCCTTAGGTAACTCTAAAGATAAATCATTCTCTCTCATATGACACCAGAACATATTACTCTATGTCTGTTTAAATGGTTTTAATGTCCATGTCATAATCAAATGGACTGTTTGAAAAGTAATGTTGCTTCAGCCAAAGGGATATATTTACATATTAAAGCAATTAGAATGAATTAAAAGGAGTTGCTACATGTACTCTTCCATCTGATTTAATGTGGTGACATAACTTCTATAGATTTTGCTTTGGTGTTTGCTTTAACTGCTTTGATAGTACTAATGGCTTGACCTTGGAAAGATTGGATCATCTCTCTGGGTCTCTACTTCCTCATTTAAAATGAGAGAATTTAATTAAATAATCACTTTGGCTCCCTCCAATCTGAAGTATTATTATATTTTTTAAGTATAAATTTCATCTATTTTTATCAATCTTATTGCACTAATACATAGAATAATTTTACCATTTCTCATGTGATGTGGTGTCTGAAATATTAATTATTTATAGTATTTTTTTATCTGTAACAATTATAACTATTATTCTATAAGAATGTGCCTTACTTTTTCTGTTAAATTTTAAATATTATAAAGGTAAGTTTAATTTAAGGTTTTTTTTTTTTTTTTCCTGTGCCATGATTTATGGGCAGATAAATGGTATTCAGATTATTAAAGCATTTTCCAGGGCATGGGGAAAAGTGACTAATATTTATTTAGCATCTAATATTTATTTGACACTAATATTTTGTCAGATACAACTATAATTTAGGTTATATGTTGCATTTATATAGGAAAGAAAATTGTAGGGAATAATATGTGATAGATCCAGAATTCACTCTCAGCAAATGTGTGACTCTAACAGCCATGCATACTTTCTATTAAGTATGTTATAGAATTTTTTTCAAAAATAACTTTTATTGACCTTACCATTTTGCCTGGATTGCTAGACTTTAGCTAGTTATGTGACTAACTATAAAATGAATATTCCATTGTCTTAGTTCTGTTCAACATACATGCTCACAAAGAGACAAAAACAAGTGCACATACAGAACACTTGTGAAATGCAAAGGTAGAGTTTACCCATAAGAAGTGCGAAGGTAGAACTTACCCTACTGTAAGAGAAAATGGACAAAGAAAACAAGAGTAATTTCATTTATTCTGCCCCTTAGTATTTCTCTATTTTATTTATCTTTTTTTCTGATATTAGGAACTGTCTGAATCACTACAATCTGAGTAATCAATTCTCCAATCCTTACCAAGAGCATGACTTTTATAAGGAGAATTATAGCAGGCTTTAGTATTTTCTATAGTGTTACTGATTTCTGAAATATCTAATAATCAGCTAAATTTATTGACATAAGACTTTCAGAACTGTCCCTGATACTATAATAGATAGTATCCATAGTCACTTCCCCAGAAAAGTTGATATAACTCAATACTCATTGTAATGAATAAGAAAAAGAGAGAGAACCCAAAGATATTAAAAACAAAACAATATTCATTTGATAATAACTAACTTACCCTCTGAACTCCAGAATGCAGAGACATTTGAGAACTCATAAATGGAGGGGCACAGGAGAAAATGTAGAGTTAATTTAGATATAATTCCAATAGAAGAAAGAACAAAAACCAAGACTTTACTGTTTAAACTGTAAGTTTACAATGAAATTGTGAACTTAGACTGCAATCAGTTATAATGTAGGTAAATGTACAGGTATTGCCAAATGACATCATAAAGGCAACTGACATCATGAAGTGGGGGAAAAAAATAGGAGTTCTAGAAATTCCTTATCAGAGAGTTCCAATGCTGCTTCTTCCTCAGGGATGTCTTCTGGGTCTGTATCTTGCTCTCTTGTTTCTACCACTTTGTCCTGCTTCTTCGTGTGGACTGTGATGGTCTGTTTTCTCTGAGGCATCATGACATTGTTGTATTTAGATCTCTGTTAACTGTTTGTGAAGAGCAGCCAAGGGTGATTCAGGCTCTTCTTGGTGGTTTTTTGTCATTGGCCTGTTGGTGGAGAAGGAGATAGTGGCTCTCGCTCAGTAAGTGAAGTTGTAGGAGGTAGGGGTGTAGTTGTGTCTTATGGGGACTGTTGTTGTCTCCCACTCAGACACAAATTATAATTGAATAACCATCAAAAAACTAAAAGCACATGG